CCTGGTGCCATTTTAAGTTCTCCAGGACATTCAAAACATTTGCCCCCCAAGCCTGACAGGTATGGCACAGGTACTGTGAGATACCCTCAGACATCACAAATAACTCTGGACACCTATATTTAGGTACCTGAATCACTCTTTCAGTTTCTGCAACTATGTATATCCTGCTATCTGATCTATATATAGTTACTGCAATGTTTGAAGAAAATAAGTGGCCCCACATGGTCTAAATGAAAATGCAAAGCTTGGAACATCTTGTTTAAGGATACCAAAAATGTAGCAGGACACAGGATTACTCCTCAGTTCCTCATTCAAAGCAAGGTTTACACGATAAGAAACATTTCAGAACTCCTGGTTACCCGGACTTCTGCAGCTTCCCCTGCAGATTCTCATCTTAATCTACAGAAAGTATACTTGGTTCTAATATTACTAATTTGTGTTTTTGAACATCAAATTTCAAGTCATGTACCTTACTCCCTATTAAGTGTTCAAAGATTATGAAAGCTTTAAGTTGTTACACAGGACAAGAGAGCCTTTAGAAACACTTCAAAACAGGAAGAGTAAAGAGGTATCAATTAAAGTTGTTTAAAACAGCTTGCTGGGTTTGAAGCATTTACATTTTTAATAGAAAAAATTAAAGAGATAGTAGGTAAAGTTTCAAACAAAAGTGTCATTCAAAAGACTTACAGTAAGTTAATCTACAGCTGACGTCAAGAATCCTACTTATTACAAAATATGTAGGTTAAAGCATTAAGATAACTATGCTGTCAGCTAATGCACAGCACTAAACACAGAATTACAGAAATTATGGAAGAATGGATGAAGCTAAGAATCAGTATTACTGAATTCACATGAAAAAAATACTGAAGAGTAAACAAGATTAATTCCCCTCCCCCAAAACAGCAAAGCAAAACTACTTCAAAGCTATTACCTCCAGTTTTATTTTGAAAGGGATTTTAGTCCAGGAGGTACGGTGCAGAAATACAAGGCAAAGACACAGATAACTTGAATATGTGTGTTTTTTTCCCCTGGCACAATTGCCCTCACTAAATATAGCCATTTCGGTTACTACTGATGGAAGCATCCAAAAATTGCTAACAAATCAGTGTCTCAATCACGTGATTAACTCAATAAGTGTTCTGGCCCTTTTTAGCTAGCCTTAAAGTCTGATTCAATTCTTTGACTGAAGTTATACTAGAAATAAAACATACTGTTAATTCCAAAGACAGTCTAAACTCCAAACCCTGCAGGCAGATTTCTCAGGATGGCAGCAGATTGAATTGGAGACAGCCGGAATAGGAGACTTGGAGGGGTCTTTTACAGACAAAAGACTTAACAAATAAGTTACATTTCAGATGTACACCAGGAAAGATATACAGGTATCAAACATAACATCTATAACTATGAATGGAAATTTGTTTCCTAGAGAAAAAGCATTAGCTTCACTTAATATGGGCTCTAAACTTAACACTCCAGCAACCATTACACAGGACAAGTCACTGCATCCAGTCAAGTTATACAGCCTGCACAAGTTCTCTCCAAAGTATACACTTAACCTTCATACCTACAGGGTGCTTGGTATCTTCTTAGAGAAGTTAAGACCCATACAGGTAAGAACTACATTTGAAGTGATGAGAGCCAGTTACATACACAAAACTTGGAAATGTCAGTAGCTTGAAGCCTTACAAATAATATATTCTCTAGTTTGAGGTGAAAGTGCCAAGACACCAAAATACCTGTTAAAAACATCTTATCCTTGACCAGTCTGAAGACTGAGTGGTCTCCACTTGAGTTAAGCATATGACTGAGAAAGACCGACTTCAGAGCTAGACAGGTTGAAAACACAGGTTCAAAACACTACAGGATTTGACGCAGTTATCCTGGCAGTGGTGTTTTTTTTTTTTTTAAACTGATGTGGAAATCCTATGGAAAAAAGTTATTCATGGATATTTCTACAGGTATCCACTGTGCAAACCCAGGGACATGAAGGAAACAGTAAAGCAGGACTCAACCACTAGGAAGAGTCACTAGACTACCAGCTTGCAAAATAAACTAAGACTTCAAAGGGGCATATAAGATCTTACTATTTAACATGTACAATCATTGTAAAGTTTCAAATGCAGAAAAGTAGCTTTTACATTTTAATCCTGAGCATGAAGGCTTTATTGCTGCATAGCTGCCCTCTGCCTTGTCCCTAAGGTCAGGAAAACCCATTGCCTGGCCAGGATTTCTATTCTCTAAAATAGAGGCAGAGGGGGAGTACCTAATATTATTGAACTTCTTATAAAAAGGAGTAAGAGTGAGGCCCCTACTTTGCCAAAGGGAATCACCAAGCTCACAGAATCGTTGAGGTTGGAAGGGACCTCTGGAGATCATCTAGTCCAACCTCCCTGGTCAAGCAGGGTCGCCTAGAGCATGTTGCCCAGGATCACATCCAGACGGGTTTTGAATATCTCCAGGGAAGGAGACTCCACTACCTCTCTGGGCAACCTGTTCCAATGCTCAGTCACCCTCACAGTGAAGAAGTTTTTTCTCAGGTTCAGGTGGAACTTCCTGTGGTTCAGTTTCTGCCCCTTGCCTCTTGTCCT